AAGCCAAGATTTACACTAGAGTTTCCTGAGCAAGCTCATATGAATACCTGTTGGAGTAGCCATTGATGTAAATGCCATGTAAAATTAGTTTAATTGACTGCAGCGCATGGAAATCGGAGTGGATTCTTTAAAAGGAGCGTTCAATCTGCACAGGACTGGAGGTGAGGTGGGGTGATCACAATGACAGGAAGAAACAATGCCTGGCTCACTGAATTCTTAGAAGCTTTTTGGATCTTTTCATCAATCTGTCTATCATCCTTTACAAAAATTATGTCTACAACAGCAGCACTTGCACCAAGTAAATGGAGAAAAAGACAGAACTCCAACAAATGAAACGTTTAACCCTACTTCAAAAAAACTGCAAGTCATGATGAATAAGTGCTGTCTGCAGTAGGCCTTGCACAAACTGAAGGAGATGGCACTAGCAATGAGCATCAACTCCCTTACCTTCAGGACCACGGATTAGCACAGCAAGAGGATCAACAGCCTCGCCATGGCAGTTAAGATAACAAACGATACTGCTCCTTTCCTTCCTTGCCTACCAGCACATATGTTAAGGTAACATATGCATAATTAACCCATCAAAGCACACTCTTGTTAATGAAGGCTTACACATGTCATTTCGTGCTAAATCCAGCTACCTTCCCATATGGACCCCTTCAGTCTGCTGACATCTCTTCCTTCAGCAATTTCATGTCACTTGGCACACACTGCTCAGCTGTTGGGCTTCCCTCATTTACTCTATCTTATTGCAGGAGAAAAGGGAACCCAAAGAACGACCAAGGCAGGTCATAAGAGGGGCATCCCCATCCTGAATGCCCTCCCGTCCTAGAAGAGAAAGCTATGGAGTCGGTGAGGATGCATTCTGTTCTTGCTGTGGGAGTTGGTGAGTTCGATGGCAAATTACTATTGCCACTGATAGATACATTGTCACCCTAATATTCTTAAATTATGCTCTCATTTCTTGCAGATCCGTCACCATGATGCAGACAATAGGTGATGATGAGGAGGAGCATTAGGGACGATGTCTTTTGTTCACACATTATAATGTGATTCTGAAGCACTAGGCCACACAGAAATTCCTGGAGCATGATCCTGCACCATGTTTATTTGCACCATCTTTGTCTGTGTCACCTGTTGAGAAATCACTGCTTCCATGGGCCCTAGTTATTTTGATCCGGGGCTGTTACATAGTACTGGTACGGTGCAGCAGAGGGCACAAGGGAGCTGGAGGAGTGAGAGTGGAAACCCCATAAAGGCTGAGGTGAAAGCTCTCTATGGCTTCAGAGATGAGGGATTCAGAGCTCTTGGATGTTTACCTGAAAATAGGATTTTCAAGACATGGCTGTAGGCAGGGACTTGGGTGTGTGGCAACTGCTAGATGTGCTAAAGTCTACAACTCATCTTCACAGCAATATCTCAGAAGTTTGTCTTTGTTTTTTGAACAAACGGCAATTCACCAGAGTTAGACCCTCAGCTAAGAAACAACCAATGACCTATTTCTGCCTCTATCTTCACTTTAGCAGAGGCCCCTCCCGAGTGGTAACAGTGGAGGGAATACAGAGTGCCCTGCATAATGGCTTCCAGATCACAAAGAGCTGTTTCACAACATATGATAGTTACCTGGAGGCAGGGACGTGGCTCTTAAATCATGAACTCCTGTGTTGGTCCAGGCCTGGGCCCCTTGCAACACTTCTGTCTTCTGAACTTTCTCCCCTGCCGCCCCCAGCTCCTGACCTGAGCACTATAGTCCAGGGCCTCAGTTATCGAGCCCTGATGTATCCCCACCCTGTCCCATGTCTTGTCTGTAGGTCAGTGCATCCCTCCAATCATTGAGGCCACACTTCCTCAGTACAATGATAACAGCTAGAACGCATCTGCCTGGTTTTGCTATCTCTTGGAGCAGCAGCAAGCACCGTCAGCTTTCTCCCTCAGAGCACAATGGTGATTTTCTGAAGAGCTACCAGCAGTATTCAGAGATGCAGCCAGAAGCAGCTTCCTTCCAGCAGAAAGGTGGTCATTTTGTCCTATTATTGTTTTCTGGAGTATGAGAAAAAACTATCTCCTGCGATTCGGGCATCTAGAGTTTCTAGAACAGGTGAGAGAAAATGCATGTAGGCCTCTTGGGAAGCATAGTGTTTAAAAATAGGTTGATTAATCACAATTATTGTACAAAAATAGAATGGGCAATTTGCTAAATATACATGTTTGAATCTTATAGGAAAGGATCACTTTATTTGGTGTGCATCCATTCACTCAGGTGATGATTATGGCCATATTTACTAAGGGTAAAAAAGACTGATATATTATTAAGTTATTTAATGGAGAATTACTTGAGTGAATCCTGTGCCCTAAGTAAGTTGAAGAGAAGGATGAAAAACTGTGGTGTCAAAAATATATTGAAGAGTAGCCTTCAGAGATGTGACGTGCTCTGATGAAGGAATCACTGGAAATTCCTCTGAGAGCAGGTTATTATGATGGTCTCTGCATGTTCTGCCCCCAACAGAGTCAAGATCTCCTCAACAATAGTAACAAATGCCAGCTTTTAATTTTTAAACTGTGCGGGATGTGGAAGTCACTGACTAGGTTAACATTTATTCCCATCTCTAACTGTCCTTGAGAAGGGGATTGTAAGCTGCATTACTCAACTACTACAGTCCTAGGCATGTAGGAACAACCACAGTGCTGTTAGGAATAGAGTTCCAGTATTTCAACCTGAAGAAACTGAAAATAGTTCCAAGTCAGGATCATTCTTGGATTGCAGGGGAACTTGCAGCTGATGATATTCCCATGCATGTGCTGCTCCTTTCCTTTTAGGTGGATGAAATTGCGGGTTTGTGAGATGCTGTCGAATGACACAACAGGTATAACTAATCAGAGGACAATATCTGGAAGTATTGTGAAGCCTCTCCTGAACCTTTGAGCAATTGCTAGTATTTCTTTAAGACCTAATGGACTTCCTGATGATATGCATCGTTGTAATGCAGTGTAGTAATTTTTCACTGGAGAATAACCTGAAATCATCAGTTGGTGTAACTTCCATTCCTAAGGTGATCAGGCAGTGCTTAATTGCCAAGGGTGGAGATATCTTGAAACCTTTCAACTTATCAGAGTTTGACAAATAAGGTACATTGCATATAACTTAAACCCGAACTTTGGAGAAAACAGCATCCCTGTAAAAATAGATCACCCTACATTTTTGCTGTCTTGCAGGGAGGTCAGAGGTGGTGAATTTGACAGCTGTCCTGCATCAATGACCTAAAGTATGCATGGCTAAACTGTAAAGTGCACTGATAGCTGTATGACATGAAATAGAATAAAGTGGTTACATTCATAACCACTGGGAGTCAGTAGATCAGTGGCTGCAACTCACCATTCAGCACAAGACCCTCTTGCCATTTCGGTGAAATGCACTAAAGGCTTCTTGAATAAAAATCTCCGTTGACATGTGCTGCCTGTATGTTCCATGGGAGATGTAATACTTGTGTGAGCTGCAGTCTCTTGAAATGCTGATGGGCTCTGCTTTGTTTCATCCTCCTGCTCCTTGCTAATGGAATTACCCAGGTTTTCATCCCTGCTGCTAAGAAGCCGTTACATTGACATGGGATTAGCAGGACCACTTACACTCATCCCAACTCCACAGATTTATTTATAAATTATCCAATGTTTCTAATAGCACTGATGTGCTCCTTTTAACCACTGATTCTTAGTAGCAATTGGTGGAACATGTGTGACACACATTATTTTCATTGGTAGTTCAGAACTGAATATAGATCCTATGATGTTGATTTGCCCAGGCTAATGAAGTGACTGTAGTTTACCGGTCTGTGTACTTCGGCTGCCCATTTCAAGGACCTCCTTCAAACGATACCAGCAGTGGCAACTGGATCAATTTTCATCATGCAGCTGACTTGTTTGTGCCAAATGGGGAACATTAGAATTGACCCCAGAGTCATCTTGGCCAATGCTGCATAACTCTCGTTATCAGCTTAATGCAAACTGTTGCCTTTTGAATTACAAAAACAACTCTGATTCACATTTCTTAGCAACCAGGTAGAACACTACTGACTGGAAAGTGAAGGATTGGACAACTATACTCTTCGACACAGTACAACCTGATGAGGCATACACAGGAAAGCAAACAAAGCTTTGAGCTATTCGATGAAAAGCCTTCAGTTGTTCTCTCATTTGCCAACATATCTTGAAGCTATGCAACAAGAGGAAATGAGAAGCAATGAGCAAGGCAAAGCTAAAGCTAAAGATAATTTTAAAAAACTCCAGCATGAAAGCCAAGCAGCTAAAAAAAACTGACAGAATGAATATGCAACCATCAAATACAAATGCATTTCCATGTACCATTTCTGTTCTGTGATACAATGATTTTCATTTCAATAATTTATGATTCTGATGTTGTCATATAATTATCATGCATCTAGCACAACTCAAGTATATTTAATTCAATTATGTATGTTATAAACATGGAGACAGTGGATTCATTAAATAAATTTAACCTGTGATGCAAAAATACACAGTACCTGTATTATTCTTTGGACTCAAGCTTTCGTTTCCATGATGTGCTCTTGATTAATTTCCAAAACGCAGTCCTATGAATTTCCACCTGTCACTCAAAGAATATCTCTATGTCTTCAAGATACAATTGCAAGTATGAACCTCTTTGCAAATTTTATCATCAATTCAGATACATCTCAAAATAAAGAACTTGAATCATGTTTTAAGATCATTTGGGAAAGAAAACAGGAAATCAAACCTGTAGAATGCTTTTTTCATGTAAATTGATGGAAAAAATTGAAGTTGTAAATGGCATTAAGCAAGTATATAACTAATGAAGTTTACTGTAAGAAAAACAGAAAATGCTGGTAATACACAACAATTTCTGCGAAGAGAAAAAAGTTAACGTTTCATTTGCATGTTTTTCAAATCATCAAGACCTGGAGAATTTTAGTTTTGTATTAATGAAACATGCTTCTTGTGTTGAATAGATGGTGGGTACTGCTGCTCTACTCTTCTCCATTCTGGCTATTTTGGACTCTAAGAATGATTGCGTCCCCAAAGGTTTGGAGCCAGTGGTGATTGGCCTCATCATCATGGTCATTGGTCTTTCGATGGGGTTCAACTGTGGTGGCCCCATCAATCCAGCGCGTGATCTTGGACCACGACTCTTCACAGCTGTGGCTGGATGGGGATTTGAGGTTTTCACGTAAGTGATAATGAATAATTCGAATACAACAGTAAACACTGCGCCTAAAAACAAATCTGAAGGCAGTCCTCAGATCCTGAAAAAACAGGTGTAGTAGAAACAATTTACTTTCATTATTTGGGCAAGGCCAGTTTTGTGGGCAGATCCAGATTTCAGCTAAAATTCCTAAACTTTGATTCCTCCGATGAATGGACTGCCTCATGAAGAAAGGTTGTGCTGGTTCGGTGACTATGCACTGGAACTTCGAGATTGACATGTGATCTTCTTGAAACAAAAAAATCTGAGGTGATTCATTAGGACAGACACTAAAAAGATGGTTCCTCTCATGGGGGAGTCTAGAATTTGGTCACAGTTTAAAAGTAAGGGACCTCCCATTTAAGATGGTGATGAGGAGCAATTTCTTCTTTAAGAGTGTTATTCATCTTTGGAATTCTCTACTGCAGAGAACTGTGGATGTGGGCTCATTGAATGTGTTCAAGGTTGAGTTAGACAGATTCTTAACTACAGGGAGTCAAGGTTTCTGGGGAACAGACCGGAAAGTGAAGGTGAAGCCACAATCAGATCAGCCACAAACTTATTGAATGGCAGAGCAAGCTCAAGAGACCAATTTGTCTGCTTCTATTTCTTGCATTCTTAATGAAGCAAATTTGAACCTCTAAGGTACAAGTAGTTCTGCCTTCTCTCTATAAACTTCAGAATCCAACTGTGTAAATTCCACAATCCAGATGTTCCTTTCTCTTCTTCTACAACACAGCATATCAATCCTGCAGCTAACCATGTTTTACAGTTACAAACAAAACAGAACACTTCCTGATTTAATTAGTAGCCTGGCCATGTGATGTCTTTCTAAGTTTTCAATATTTACATGAGCCATTATCCTTGGGACCATTGTGTTTTGATTTTACTTTCCATTAGCAGTTCACTGCATAGGAGCATATCTGATATGTCGATGGCTCAGATCAGTTAAAATCGCTGGCACAGAAGGCTCGAGTAAATTTTCAACTCCTGACCCGTAGGCATCTTCTCCTAGCCGACAACAATCTCATGGAGATATATTTCCTCTAGATTTCATCTTAGTAATATAGTAAATTTGATTAGGAGCTAGGGAACTCCAGCTTTAGAATTGCATGTTTCTCCCTCAAAATTACTCAACTGAGCAAAATGCAAATGGCACCATCTTCTCTTGATGTACTTCAAAATCCAACAAACAGTACAGGTGCCCCACACTTAGTTTACTTTTCCAACTTTCACCCCTACTGTCACTCACCCTCTAACTTAGGATTTCTGTATTGACTGGAGGCAGAAGGTGATATCTTCTTAACGACCATGGAATTAGAATCATAGAGTTATACAAAGACCTTCAGTCCAACTCGTCAATGCCGACTAGACATCCCAATCTGACCTATTCCCATTTGCCAGCATTTGGCCCACATCCCTCTAAACCCTTCCGATTCATATACCCATCCAGATGCTTTTTAAATGCTGTAATTGTACCTGCCTCTTCCTCTGGCAGCTTGTTCCATAGACGCACCATCCTCTGTGTGTAAAAGCCACCCCTCAGGACCTTTTTAAATCATTCCCCTCTCACCTTAAAACAGCACTCTCTTGTGTTGGACTCCCCCACCGTAGGAAAAAGACCTTGGCTGTTCACCATATCTACGATACTCACGATTTTATAAACCTCTATAAGGTCACCCCTTAACCTCTGATGTTCCAGGGAAAAAAGCCTCAGCTTATTCAGCCTCTCCCTATAGTTCAAACGTGCCAGTCCCGGCAACATCCGTGTAAATCTTTTCTGCACCCTCTTAGGTTTAACTCTCAGAAGGGCGATCGAATTGAGCACAGTGTTTCAAAAGTGGCCTCACCAATGTCCTGCACAGCCACATTACATCCCAACTCCTATACTCAATGTTCTGACCAATGAAGACAAGCGTACCAAACATCATCTTCACCAGCCTGTCTGTCTGCAACTCTACTTTCAAGAGACTATGCACCTGAGCTCCTAGATCTCTTTGTTCGGCAACACTCCCCAGGGCCCCACCTTTAACTGTATAAATCCTGCCCTGGTTTGCCTTACCAAAATGCAACACCTCACATTTATCTAAATTAAACTCCATCTGCCACTCATCAGCCAATTGACCCATATGACCAAGGTCCCGTTGTAATTTGAGATAATCTTCTTCACTGTCCACTACACCACCGATTTTGGTGTCATCTGCAAACTTATTAATTAAAATGAACTCCCAGTTTTTCCTAATGTTGACCACAGTAAAGATGAGGACAAATGATTAATTATACATTTAGTACTAAGGAAGTTTCTGATTGAAAGATGCCATATGGTGCCATCTGTTATGTTGGCATAAGAAGATGGGTGACAGCCTTATCCTCCAGAATCTAATACAAGTGATGATATTATGACTTGTTTTGTAGCCACAACTGACATAAGCTCAGCTCCTCAGGCTTGTTTAACCTGGCAGTACACACTCTGATTATATCTATTCCTCGGTACCTGATGTGCTGGTGAATAAACAGAATGCATGCATGCCAGGTACTACTCGGTGCATGATAGAATGAGGCACTATGTACTAAGATTGTGCAAGCCCTGAGCTCCAAAGAAAGAGTGCTCAAATTGCATTCACAATGCACAAACTAACAGTGCAAATGATGTGTGTTCTTTAATACATTTCAATCCCCCTGCGCAAGTAGTCTAACAAGGATATTAGAATCAATTCATAGTGACCTGTGGGCTGTGTATGCACAACAATTCAAAGTTTTTGAAGCTGTGCTTTTTAATGAAGCTCTTGAGTATGGTACTGAGGGAGTGCTGTGCAATCAGTTGTGCTGTGTTTTGATGAATTAAACCAAGGCCCTCTCTTGCCTCTCAGCTCAATGTGAAAAACCCCATGACAGCATTTGAAAAAGGGCAAGGGATTTCTTCCATTTGCCTTTAGCCAACATTTAAAACACGTAACCCAGTCATTGTCATATTGTTGTTTGTGGGAACTCCCTATGGATCAATCGGCCGTCACATTTCCTGGGCCATGTGGAGCCTGCACTGATTTTTTTTGCAATAGGAAAACTCTATGAGTGACCTCCAACAATGAAAAACTGCTGAAATCAGCCAGATATCTAAGCAGTTGAGTTGGGGAGGTAGTAATTTAGGTGTAGTGATAGAGAAGGTGGTGGCATAGTGGCAATATTACAAGACTGGTAATTCAGGTGCATGTTCAGGGGCATAGATTCATATCCAACCATGGCAGATGGTGAAATTTGAATTTGATTATTTAAACAATAATATCTAATGGCAACAATGATTGTTATAAAAAACGCATCTGGTTTCGGGAAAGAAATCTATCATCCTTACTTGGTCTGGCCACATGTGATTCCAGATCCACAGCAATGAATCTCCCTTAACTACCTTTTGAAATGGCCCAGGAAGGCACTTAGTGATGAGTGACAAATAGTTGCCCAGCCAGCAATGGCCACATTAAAAAAAACATAAAGCTGAAGTATACAAAAGTGATGCTCTCTGCTTTTTATCCTTTCCACTAAATGAGGAAATTCCAGCTAGTGGACCCTGCTGTAAATCATAAAAGAAAGAGATTTCAGAAACAACTTTAAAGAGGTCCTGCACGTCAGGCTGTTTGGTAAAAGAGAGTTCAGGATCAGTAAACAAGACTGTTTCATGCTGGAAGGAGACACTCGATCAGACTGAAGAAAGAGACGAGTGAGACAGCAGAAACACTGAATATTTTCTATTATTTGAAATGGTCTGTTTGTTGTTTTATATTTTCATATACTCCCTGAAGATGTCAGTACAGATAGACAGGTAGTGAAGAAGGCATGCAGAATATTCAGCTTCGTTAGCAAGGGCATAAAATATAGGAGCAAGGAAGTCTTTTTGCAACTTTATACAACATTGTTTAGGCCACAGATGGGATACTGGTCAGGATGGCACAGTATCAGAAGAAAGTGATTGCACCGGAGAGGGCGCCGAGGAGATTCACCAGGATGTTGCCTGTGATGAAAAGTCTCAGTTATGAGGAGAGTTTGGATAGGCTAGGTTTGTTTTCACTGAAGCAGAGGAGGCTGAGGGGAGATTTGATTAAGGTACTAGTATACAAAATAATGAGCGGTATAGACAAAGTGTATCGTAGAATCTCTTCCCCACATCTAGGACCAGACAGCATAAGTTTTAGGTGAGGAGCAACAGGTTTAGAGGAGATATGAAGAGGAATTCTTTTCACCCATAGGGTGGTAGATATATAGAACGTGCTGCCTGAGAGGGTGGGGGAGGCAGATACTCTTAAAAAGCATTTGGATGAGTACTTAAAATGCCAGGGCAGAGTAGACTATGAACCAAGTACAGATAAATTTGCTGCTTGTTGGTCAGCATAGACATGGTGGACCAAAGACCCTGTTTCTGTGCTGTATAACTCTATGTTCTAACTATAAATTATTCATTGCTTGTATGTGGTGGGCTTGGAACTTTGAGTATTCGACTGTTAGTTGTGAATGCCTTTTAACAGAAAAACAGAAATTAGGAGTAGGCCATTTGGCCCTTCAAGCCTGCTCCACTTTCTAATATGGTCAATGGCTGATCTCAGTACCCTACTCCTGTTTTCTGCCCATACCTTTTGAACTCTTTAGCCCTAAGAACTATAACTAACTCCTTCTCAAAACCATTCAAGGTTTTGGCCTCAACTGCTTTCTATGGCAGGGAATTCCACAGACTCCCAGCTTTGTGGGTGAAGAAATTTCTGCTCATCTCAGTCCTAAATAGTTACTCCATATCCTTAAATTGATCTGCCTCAAGCTTCTGTAATTGAGTTTTGTGAAAACACTGCAGGAAGAATCCCATTGTGTTTGGTGTAACAAATGGGTTCTTTATGAAAGTGCATCCAATCCCGGTCCAGAGATTAGGAGTTGTCAGACTACTGATTCAAAGAAATGAGGCAGTGGTGTTAACACTTAGCGTTTGCATAACATTTATAAACTTCACTCAAACTCAACTTTTCTGAACATCACTGAATAACGGCGTAAATACAGCACACAGTGTCAAATTCTAAGCAACAGTGGTCTGGTGTGAGAGAGTCAGTCCACCACTGTATCTGATGTTGATTCACTTGTTGTTTGCCCACGCAGAGCTGGTGATGGATGGTGGTGGGTCCCTATCATCGCACCACTGATTGGAGGAGTTCTCGGGACTGCCATTTATGTTCTGATAATTGAGCTTCACCACAAGGAGACAGCCCCAAAGGAGAACCACTGTACCTCAGAACAACAGATGGAGGGGAAGGCAAAATATGAAATGACTTCAATACAGTGCAACAAATAATGCTGACGATTGAGTGAAGAGGCAGCTTCTATGGTCAGGATTTGGGTCTGTGAAGAGAATATGAATTAATTTCATAAAGTGTTTCTTTATTCTCCTGACAAATGCATTCTGGGAACATGATTCTTATTTTATTGATAGGGGACAGAGTCATCAATTACACAAGTTATTATACAAGCAAGCCAATATTATGTAGTGATATTTTGAGAGGCTATTTGGCACCCAAATAGAGACCAGTCAGAACTGAGACTAGTGCAATATTCACTGAGGAAAACCTGGCAATTCATGAGTCACAAAATCACAATTAATTTTGAGAGAATCCTTGTTGGGAGCAGGTTGATGTAACTCACAACCATAAAAAAACTCACAGATGTGAATGAGTTATGCCAGTTGATTTTTGAATCTATTTGTTAAAGCACTTTGTCCTCCTGTGTAATCTGCTATTTCACACATAAGCATTTATTTATAGTTGCCGGATACTACAGAACTTGAATATTGCTGAAAGGAGCGCCATAATCGGTGAAATTTTTTGTCTTGCACTCGTCAGGACAAACATAAGAACACCAAATTCCAAACTATTACAATTTTTGATCACTTCGAATTTGGTATTCTTGCACTTGTCCTGATGAGTGCAGACAAAAATACTTCACCACCATGTCTCTCTTTAGTAATATTTATTTATATATCTGACTTTCACATAGAATTGTGTTGCAACAGTGATTAACACTAATCTGGAAGCTGCAATCACACTGCACAAAGGAATGACATGCCAACTAAACCATAAATATTTGTGGAATAAAGCAAACTGTGTATTCAAAAGATGCATTCACATTCATCAACAGTATTATTGCTGCATTTTATGTTTATATAAATCTCATTGAAAACACATACATTTGTGTTTAGTATTTTTACTTCCACAGGCCCACATTGAAGTGCTTCTTTACGTGTTGCTTCACAGAATAACAAATACATGTACTTGAATAAATTTTATATCGATTATTATTCATCTGCTTCTGTGGTTATGTTGCACTTCAATACCGCACTGTGCTATTGCCAAGACTGACGTTACAAATCAGTACTGTAGTATGGAAAATTCTAACTGTGTCACTGCCGTATCTTTGGTCCAATTTTTACTTTCTCTTAAGACAGAATATTAGCTTTATGTACAAATGTCAACTTGGTTAAAAATAATGGCGAAATTTAAGATGGAATGTGAAGTGGAGATGCAGGCTACTGCACTTAGAAACAATTCTAATGAAACTCGAAATGTTCATTCACTTAATTCCAGTTTTTTGAACTCTGGTTTGCCCACAATAGGGTCCTCCTGAAAGATATGATTAGGTGCTAGGAAAATTCAACTTTGCATTTTTGTAATGTTGTAAGTTTACTAGCTAGAAAAAAAAAGAGAAATTCAGTATATTTTGTAACAATTTCTGTCCTAGTAATTTCTACATTTGAGACTTTATGGGCTGGATCTCAGTTATACATTTCATTTGCTAAACAGCGAGGGGAATTTTAAATCCAAGTGCTGATGGGTTTGGTCTGAATGGAATGTGATCATTATAAAAATATCAAACTTCTACCTAACTTGGCTAGAATCCACTCATTTTGAGTCTATCTGAAGTGGGGCAAGTGAGCAGGCATCCAGAATGATCATTGCTTATTTAAATGTTTTGATGTGGCTGCATGCCTCAGATTTCATTCTTCCTCCAGTTCTAACCTGCAGCTGTAGGAAGGCAGAAACAGTGCTGTGAAAGAGATTTGTACTTTTCCTGCTGTGCATGTGGACCACAGGGTGCAGGACCATTTCCTCCTAGGTCTTGAGCTAACCTTCTGCGCTTGTCATGCTTAGACCCACCAGCATTGCTGATGATACAACACTCTTTCAGCACTGTGCTGAAGTATCAACCTCGATTTAGTACACAAGCCCACGGTGAATAAGAGGCATGTTATTCCAATCAATAACAGCAAAATACTTCAGATGCTGGAAATCTGAAACAAATACAGAAAACACTGGAGAAAGTCAGCAGTTGTGGCAACATCTGTGGAGAGGGGAACAAAATTAGTGCTTCAAGTCCACGTGACTCTTCCTTTGAAGAACAATCAAATCAGATTTGAAATGTTAACTCTGTTTCTCTCTCCACATATGCCACCAGACCTGCTGAGTTTCTCCAGTACTTTCTAATTTTCTGTCAGGCTATATTCCAGCTGCCCCGTACACCAGCACTGGAAAGATTTCGTTTACAGTGCTAATTCAAAATGAATCAATGATTAAAACTGTCAAAAATTGTTGGGCTTTCACTGTGTTTTATTAAATTCATCTGCACGGAGATTCCTGAAAATTTTGCATTGCTAATTTCTGCCGCTGGTTTGTTTACTATCTTGTTGCCTGGAGCTGCACACTGGCATGGCTCCACCTATAAACATTTGTGCAGTGCACTGATCTGTGTTTATCTATCCAACACAATTGTATTGGTGTAACCTAGCAACCAGCTCAATCAGTTGAGTTAGTTAGTTATAGAAAAAAAATGCACTTACTTTTCATCCAAATATACTGCTTGAGTTCCATGCATTTTCAATCTAAATTGTTTTGGTTATATCACCTTTAATTGTAATGGTACTGCAGTGGGATATGTGAACAAATATAACCTTTAGCTTAAAAACCAGACACCTGGACCTTATGAGGAAGAGGACAGGACCCAGCAAGCATTTGAATGTGCTGTAATATCAACAATGCAAATGGGAAAGCAATTATGAGAGTATTTCTGAGTTAACAGTAGATCTCAAACACAAAGAAGGTCACGTTAAAACTCCAAGATGACGTTAAAACTCCAAGCAGGTGAGAGAAAATTATTTTGTGTGGTACCCTTTCAACGCTAACAAGAGAAGCTAGCTGCCTTTTAAGTTCACTACAAACCAGACTATGAATGCTTCCAATTTAATTTAAAAGTAGATAATCTGGATATGCACCAACAACTTACATCATGTGTTAAAATGTCCAAAATCAACGGGAACATTGTTGGGGTTCAGGTCAAGGGGAGGTTTTTAAGAATGGTCAACAAAAGGACTTTTCAAGACATAGGAAAAGAAGTGGGATGAAGACAATAAACAAATTCCACCACAATGGAGACGGAGTTCAGCAAACTCTGCTAGATCTCACAAATGTGGAAGAATAAAGGGTGAATGATGGGTTGGAGAAGAATAGAGGAGTTATACAGAAGGAAACCAAAAAAGGATTTGAAATTTTGGGGAAGAGGCTTGAACTTGATGTGCAGGAGGGCATTTCCAGCGGAGAGCAATCAGGGTAGGAGGGGCAAGAAGATTGGTGTGCATGAGTTTGAGTGAAATAGGATACGGACTTCAGAAATCTAGATGATTTAGAATTTGTTTGAGTTGGAGTTGGGGAGGTTGGTGAGGAGACCATTTGAAAACTCAAGGCTTTATGTAATGATGGCATAAATAGGAGTTTCAACAGTGATGGGGTTTTTAGTAACGGCATAGGAAAAACCATGCTTGAGAGTGGGAAAGTAAGAGGAGTTAATGATAAATGTAGAATTGAAATTGAACTTCAAGGTCGAGCAGGACATAATAATGATATTATTGTGTTTATCCTGAGCAAACAGAAAATCAGAAAGATGGATTTGGAAACTAAGATGCAAAGTTTCTAAGAACAGTTGTTAAGGGTTGGTTTCTGCCTTGATGATAATTGAACTAAGGGAAATTCTCCCCTATCCAGGATTTGCTGTCAAATGGGCAAACAGGAAATGCAAGAACATTGCTCTTCTATTCCAAAAGCCAGCTGAAGGATAGTACCGGAGCCAAGCTTTACATAATTGTACCTTTTTAGTATTAACTTTACAAAGTTAAATATTACAAGCAGCTTCTGCCTAACTTAGCCACAGGACAATTTGGTAAGTGTCTCCCCTTAAAGGTACTCAAGTAAAACTCACTTAATATCCCACACTTGTAAATAAATATGACGAATGTATAATAAATAATATTGGATTCAAAGGTGAAGAAAGAGGCAAATGGAACTAATACCATTCTAGTAATACAGCAAACTTTACTTGGACTAATTAAGTAGCTTGTAAATTAGAGCAGGTACATTGTAGCAGTGATTTCGTAGGAAGCTTTCAGTTTCTAGAGTTTCTTTGCTATTGTGGAAGTGACTGAATCTGTTTTGACTGCACAGCCTTTGACAACATCTGAATCAGAAGCAACAGCAGACCAACCCATGTAGGCACAGAGAAATGTACTTGACAAGCTCCATTAGTGAGCTCTATAACTTGACTGAAATACTTACCCAAAACATCAGAAATCAATGGACAGCACCTCAATTTAATTCCTTCTTTATAGGACAGCTATTCTGAAAATGCAGTACTTCCTCTATACTCGAATGGATTATCAACCTGGGCTAGGAGATTGTTATTAGGATCCGGATTAGAACTGGACGACACTATTTAAAAATAAGGAGTCTCCCATTTATGAGGGAAATGAGGAGAATTTTCTTTTCTTCTCTTCAGAGGGTGTGAATCTGAGGAATTCTTCCACAAATAATGGTAGAGGTGGTTTCAGTGAATACCTTGTGGCCAGAGATAGATTTTTAGAATAATAAGGGATTCAAAGGGTATCAGCCTTAAGCTAGGAAGTGGAATTGAAACCATATCAGATCAAACATGACATTTTTGAAAGGAGGAGTGAGTTTGAGGGGCTGAATGGCCTCATCCTGCTCGTGTGTGTATGTGTGTGTGTGTGTTTGTGTGTAATTTGTGTTTGTCTGAGTGGAGTTTGAATCCACAACATTCTGACTCAACTCTGAGAGGTTTTCCAACTGAGCCAAGCTGGTACATAAATTCTGCAATGTTGTGATCACAGCTGATGGTAATACTGGATAAGTCAGATCCTAGAGTGAAACTTTACTTGATAGATTGAGAGTCTCCTGTTCACTTAGTTACTATGGTGGTTAGTCATCAAACATATTCAGAAGTATGCCAATGTTCTTTGAGAAAAGAACGCAAGTTTACTACACCAAAGGCAAAAACAAACAAAGCTACATTTATGACAGATTAGAAAGATCGTAACATGAATGAGGAATAAAGTTTAAACTACCCCCCCCCCCGCCACAATATCCTTTACAGATACTCAATCCTGGTGAGGTGTCACTCTCATCTTAATTCTTTAATTTCTTACTTAAAGACTTTTTTCATCTGATAGATTGAACCTCATTTTAGTTCTGATAGATTGAACACTTCTATATAAACTATCCCAACTTGGAGACTTCACAAACGAACCTGCCCTTCTCCTGGGGTGAAATTTCTGAACTGAAACCTGACAGTTACTGAACCCTCAGCTGTTTTCTCAGTATATCACAAATGTTCAACATTGTAAGCACTTCATCAATTAATGTCACAGTTATTCTGCTACACACTTAAGTCATCTGCCTTCTTAGAAATTTAATGTTTAGTTTGCAGTTCCAAATTACTTTCTGAATTCTTAACACATCTTTAAAAAGTTTTTTTTTTAATAGAACTGAAATGAGCACCTATTTTACCTAAATTTTATAATCCAAATTCCAAATGATATAATATATACACCCTTAACACAACAGTGAAATCACAAGGTGTCATACACCTATGACATGAAATTCCATTTCTGTGGAAATCGTCAACTATTCTCAATGACATAATAGCAAATTTCATAGTATGATGCCTGCGATACACTAAAAACTAGTGAACTCCAGATAAGCTGAACCTATGTAATTTATAATACAATTGTGTTGACCAACTGGAGCTGAGTTCAGCAGAGCTCAAAAACAGGCAGCATTGAGGAAACCAATCATTTATCATTGAGGTTTCCCTGTGATAGGATGTACAAAGTCAGTGACTAGGTCTAACCCCGTGAAAATTTTCAACGTGTTCTCAGTTGGAGAGTTGAAGTTGATACAGTGAGTGAAAACTGTGACACAAAACGACAAGCAGACACAGTGAAGAAGTGAATGAACT